TTTAGTGGTGGATGGGAGGGAGACGGAGGACCGTGAGGAGTGGAAGGAGGAGCTCGACAAGTTCGTTCGTTGCAAGGTGTCGTCCGAAGAGATACGCAATTCCACCAACAGTATGATGGGGGAGATCAGGATGAGGGCTGTACATGAGATACGTTCCACATCAGTTGTGGGAATTAGTATGGCGCTGCTTCTCAGAGCACGAGCTCGGCTGAATACCCAGAGGGCTACTGGGCCAGACGGGATACCGTGCGAGATTCTAAGGAGCTTGCCGTGGTGTGCTCTCAGAGCGATCCAGAAGTTGTTCGATAAAATCATCAAGCTCACGATTCCGTATCTTCAGTCGTGGCGTGAGATTCTCGTCTCTTTTATGCCAAAAACTCCAGGGATCACTAAGTTAAAAGACGGACGTTTGCTGTGTATGCAGAATGCTGTTTCGAGATGGTTCAGTTCCTGTGTTGTTCTCTTGGTTGAGGGTAATATTGAAAGAAAAGGAGTGTTTCGTCATATTGGGTTGTATGGTTTCCAGGAACACCGTCGTACACACGAAATCACGGCTAGCATCAAACACATAGGTCAACATGCTGCACAATGGGGAAAAGGGGAAACGGCACACTTGGCGAACGCTGATGTCCTTCAGGCGTTCGATCACTGCACGGTGGCCAATGTCAGGCGCGGGTTGGATCATGCGGATGTACCCCTTTACCTACAGTATGCTCTTCTTGACCCCTTGTGCGAATGTGTAGGCACTGTCTATTATGATGGGATTGAGGTGGTGGAGGTTAGGTGGGACAAATGTATTCGGACGGGAGGGCCCGAGGGACCGTTTGCCTTCAATCTCATCGTTGCTGCTATGTGGGGCTCCACGATTCGAGAATGGGACGTACTAGGACTAGGTTATCGTATTGAGTATGTGACTGGCTCGACTAGCTGCGTTTCGATTATTAATCATTTCCTTTGGGCTGACAACTGTTATGTATTGGCTCGGAGTCGAGAGGAACTCACACGCATGTTACACGGTCTAACTACACAGTTACATGATTATGGAATGAGATGGAAGGAATCCAGCCTATTGTATATGGTGTTCGGGGTCGAGCCGCCGCGAGATGTGGAAAGGGAAATACTTCACACTGCTGATCTTGCTCTCTCGGTGGGGTCGGAGGCGTCTGGAATGTATCGATTTAGAAGGACGACGGAGATGGAGGTGCTGGGGGCTTATATTTGTTCTGAACTACATGTGAATGAACATCATGATTTGGACGCTCGTATTGACTGTGCTCGCAGGGCCTTCTGGGGGCAGGCGACCTTCTTCCGCTCCACGGCCATCACGTTGAAAGATAAATATGAGAGGTATGCTCAGAGAGTTCAGAGTATTGTGCTCTACGCGGCGGAAGGATGCACGGTCGATTCAAGTTCATTGAGCGCCCATCATATCTTTGAGGGCAAGTGCCTGTCTGTAATGTCTCGCTGTATACGGAGGGAGGGGGAAAGTTACCAGGAATGGAATACGAGGAGGTATGAACGTGCGAGACAAAAATTTCATGATGCTCACTTCGTGGGCATTGTACAGAAGTTTCTCAGAGTGCATTGGATGTGGGCAATTGACATCCAGGACTTTGCACACAGGATGATCACAGATCGGGGGGAGCTGGAGGCGAACTCGATGAGAGCTTGGAGAGATTCTCGTTTCTCATGTCTGGCGTTTGGCCGACTGTGGGATAGAATGAGGACGGATTCAAGTGAGGCTCTCAGATGTTGGGGAAACTGGAAGGAGGCCAGCTCTATGAAAAGGCATCGGGGGGGACAGGAGAGCGTCGGACTCCGTCCGTGGTATTATTCATTGGAATCGTTTTACGGATTATCCTGGTGGGAGTTCTTTGCTGGAAGTTTTGAGCATTTCATGGATTTCGCTGCTAATGTTTGTTCTAGTACTATGTTGAAGTACTTCCAAAAGAAGTGTAAAGGGTTGGCGTCCTCAGGGGTGCCTGTATTCTTGAACTTGGATGAGGGTGGAGGGGTTCATATCGGTCAGGATCGGGAGGATACACCAGCATATAGGGATCGCCTCAGCAAACGTATTGCGTTGCATAATATGCGTTGTACACAGTGGGACCTCGATACGGATGGGATACCACTGGACATCCAAGGGGACTCACTGCTTGTTATTAACTGGCTCTGCGGGAAATGGAAAGTATTAGCTCAGGTATATCAGAAAAGGGTGGATACTCTGATTAATAAGTTGGACGAAATGCAGGGAACTTACTTGGTGAGGCCTCCAGAGGCCGGCCGTGACTTCTTCTCTCATTCGTTTCGGGAATGGAACCAGAAAGCTGACTTACTGACCCATCAGGCCCGTCAGGGCCATGTGTACGCCGATTTCGTTTACCTCAACGACTTTGAATCTCAGTGTTATATTCCTTGCCTTATCAAAGCCGGCTTTGATGGGGGAGTTTGTAGCCGCGGAAGTGCTTGTGGTGCATGGATACAGATTGGTCTGCGAAACAAGTATATCTTCTCGCGGACCGACATCATTTTCAAGGATGTGTATCTTGCGGCTTGGTGTCTACCACCGAGCGCCACTGTTACAGATACGGAGCTATCGGCGGCGGAGCGCATATGCGAGGTGCTCCCACAGGTTGTGCAGACCTTATTTGATCATTCGCAGTGATTTGACACACATTGTTTCTTCTTTTCTGTGTCTTGTATATTCCTGCAGCTTCGCTGCTCACTGACTTCCTCGATTATCTGTGTGTTCTTTGCGTTTGATTGTGTCATTGCGGCATGTGATTCTCTTTATTCCTTCAGCTTCGCTGTGTGGTATAAGAGCTGACTGCTTGCGTGATGAATAAGAGGCTCTGTTTTGCCTGAGACTTTGTTGGACCTGGCCTCAGTGGCCAAGACGGCCCCAGCAAAGACGCAAAAAAGAAGGGGGGGGGCCAAGTCTGAGGAGGAAGAAGAGATGCCCCCACAGGGCGGATCGTCGGAGAGCGAGCGCGAAAAGGCCGCCAGTGGCCGGAGCAGGCAGGCCGGGGATGGGAAACCAGCCGCCGAAAGCCTCGCCCCACGCCCCCCCACGGAGCGCCGGAGAAGCAAGGGAAATGAGGACACCGCCGAGGCTCGCAGAGGGGAAAGCGCGAGCGGCGGGAGGGGAGGGAGCAGGGCCCCCCGGGACAGCCGCCCGAGCTGGAGGGACGCTGGGGCCTCCGAGTCCCCACGGCGGATCAAGGAGTCCCGCCGTCGCTCGCCCGTCAGCCCCCGCCGCGACCCGGGCCGAGGAGCGCGCGCCTCACGGGGCCCTCGACCGGAAGAGCACACGCGCCCCCGGAGCGCGGGGCGGCGGGCATGCCCAGAGGGACCAGACCGAAGGGGAAGGGTGGAGAGTCGTGCCCCTCGTGAGCGCTCCCTGCGCCGGCGAGGAGGGTCGGGGAGCAAAGTTGGACCCCGCCCGCCGCCGGCACCGGACCGCGCGGGCGTGCGGCGCGTGTCCACCCCCAGGGGCTCCGTCCGGCAGGAAGTCTCGCTTGGCCCCCGCAAGAGGAGCCCCAGCCCCCCGTGGAAGCAGACCGGGGGGGAGGAGCCTGGGCTCCGCACGCGGGATTCGCCGCCCCCTAGGTCCCGCAGCCCCAGAAGGGCCGAGCCTCCCACGGCAGAGCCGCGTGAGCCCCGCCCTCCTGCCCAGCCGGGTGGCCTCTGGCTATGCCTCGGCTGCAGGAAGGAGGTGGGGGGCCGTCGGAGTCGCTGCGAGAACTGCTCCGCGCACTTCCTGACCACGGTAAGGGCGTGGTGGTGCCCGAAGTGCCAGAGCGGCCCCAACCGCCCGGGGAGGAGGGATAGCTGCGGTAGCTGCGGCGAGCCCTGCCACAAGAGGGAATGGATCCTGGCCGAGGTGGAGCGGATACGGCGGACCGAGAGGGGAGCGGAAGCGTGGGCCAGGTGCACCGAGCGGAACCCCGAGGGGGACCGCGAGACCGAACCCCAGACGACCCTCGCCCTGCAGGACTTCGTCCTGGGTCTCCGACGTGGGACTTCACCCCCACAGGGCCGTCCCACCGGGAAGGGGAAGAGGCCCGGCACACCCCCGAAAGAAAGAAAGGGGCGTGGGCGGGGGAAAGAGCTACAGGGCGGCCGAGGGAAGTCCCGAGGGAAGTCTCGCTTGGGGAAGGGGAGTGGGTCCACGTCGCGCAAGCGCTGGAAGTACTACGACAACACCCAGCCCTCCCCAGGGGTGTGCCGGTACTACTGGAAAAGCCGCCCCTGCAAGACGCCGGGCTGCAAGTACCGCCACCACCACCCGAAGGGCCCCCCCGCGCCGGCCCAACCGGAAGACCGCCCGCCCAAGGACGGCTCCCCAGAGCGGGGGAGGAGCGGAAGCCTGGGACGACCCCGGCCCCGGGAGCGGAGCCGGGGCGCCTCCTCGGAAAGCCGGGGGAGGGGATCACCCTCCCCAGTCCGGGCCAAGGAGGGGCCCCCCCTGCGGCTCGGGACCCACCCGGTGCGGGAGGGGGGGCGAAGCCGGGCGTGGAGGACCTCCCGAGGGTCATCGAGGAGCAGAGCGTCGGAGGCGGCCAGCGCAAGCGGATCGCCGTCATCCGGCATCACGTGGAGGCGGCAGGCGGCCAGGTGGGAGGGGCCGCGCCCAAACCCCGCGTGCGGCGCGGCATGGGAGTCATGGAGGTGCCCTGTGTCCACGCGCGGGTGGCCCCCCACGCTCTATTCGTCGGGGCCAACGGGACCTCCCGCTACATCTGCTGCCACCTCTGCAGGATGGGGGCAGGCGCGCACCTGGTGGTAGCCAAGAAGCAGACGGAGGAGATTTGGAGGTTCCTGGTGATGCGCCTGATCTTCACCACGGAGGGGCGCAGGGCGCGGGCCAAGTTTCCAGATCCGTGGAAGACGTGACTTACGGGAGCCCCCTTGCCCCCGCCCCCAGACAGCCGCCTCGTCCGGCTGGTGATCGGGGAGGACCGAGACCCTGCCTTGGTCGCCGACCCTCGCGACCCGAGGCGGCCAGTCCAGACGAGGGAGCGTGCGGGAGCCGGCGCACTCACGCAGCGGGCATCCGCCTTCCTCGGAGGACTCTGGCCCGCGGGGCCCCGGGAGGAGGACGAATCCCCGCGGGACCGCCGAGCGGTCGCGCACCTCGACCGCGCCACCCTGCGCGTCCCCGAAGGCGTTCCCGGCCACCTAGACTGGGGCGGCAAGACTTTCCTCGCCCTCCTCCGGGAGTACCCCGAGCGGTGTCGCCAGCTCCGCCGCCGCAGGCAGGAACCCCGTCTCCACGCGCTGCACAAGTTTCGGGATTGGCTGCGGGAGGAGTCTGCCTCGGGGAACCCCTTTGGAGGGGGGCCAGTCGCTCTGACCCCCGGGGGGGAGGAGACGGAGGACGACCCGGCGGACTTCATCCCGGCCGGGCAGGAGGCCTCAGGATGGACGGTGGAGGGAGCCTCCGAGGTGCCCCTCGCGCCCCGCCTGGAGCCGGACGTCAACCCGCGACTCTTGGTCGCGGTCGACACCGCCAACGGAGGCATGACGTTCCATGGGTCCGACTTCCGGGTCAAGTACCTGCAGGTCGCCCGCACCCTCGGACTCGACTTCATAAGAGGCCTCCGGGTGGACGAGGAGCCCCACCTGGTCCCGGGACTCGGGCAGGGCAGCGCCCAAGCACGCCGGGTCTGGAACTTCCGCCTGGCGGCGAACGGGAGGGAGTACACCATCCGTTCGGCGGAGCTGCGTGGTGCCGACCTCCGGGACATGGACCTGACCCTGGGGGTCCCAGACCAGCGGTACCTCGGGATGGACATTCTCCATTCGCAGGGAGTTATTGACCTCTGGGAGCTTGGCGCCCGGGGGCTGCCGATCGTCCAGAACGCGTCAGGCCACGTCTGTTACACGGCGACCCTGCCTGCCCCCTCAGGGGGCCTGCCTGCTCGCCCCGGACAGTGGAAGGCCTGGCGGGACCCGACCACGGAGAGCCTGACCCTCTACCCCTTCCACGCGGGCGGAGCCCCCTCGGGAAGGGGGGGCGCCCCCGCGGGCGCGACCGAGGTGGGGGGGGGCCCACCCGCGCGCGCTATGAACCCCCTGCATCAGGAGGCCGTGGCGCAGATGCATAGGGACCTGCTGGCTATGGGCCGACCGGAGGCGGCCGCCCTCCTGCTCAGGCTGATCCTTCAGGATGAGGGACCGCCCCCTGATGCGGACGTGGAGGACGGGATCGGCGACCCCCGGACCCACATCCGTGGGGGGCCGACCCTGGTCGTCCGGGGGGCGGAGAGGTCCCATGCCAGGACGACGGAGGGGGGGGCGATCCGCAACTTCCAGAGGGGCGGGGAGTGGCACTCCAAGTTCTGGCACGACTTCGCGCGGCGGTGCTGGAGCAGCGACTTCGACCTTGACCGGGCCCTGGACGTTGCCCGCGCCTTCCTGTCCCAGGTGGAGGATTACGGGCCCCCGGCTGACCAGCTGGCAACGAGGGGTGGGAGGATCTCCACACCCAGGTGCGGGGCCACCTCGCGGACTACCCCCCGGACTTCAGGGCGAGGCAGCACCTGTACCGGCAGCCCGCGGAGGTGGCCCGGAGGGTCCTGCGCGACTGGCACCCCTCCGACCCCGGGATGACCCGGCACGAAAACTTCGCCAAGTACTACACGGGCCTAATCAACCAGAAGCGGGAGGAGGTGGTGGAGAAGATCCACCAGGCGGCCTATAGTGATTACTTGGCGCGTGTCGCCCCCCCCGGAGGGGGCCCACCGCGTGGGGGGGCCCCCAAACCTCCGGGGGAGGGACCGCGGGCCCCGGGCGGAGCGGGGGGGGCCAGGCCCAGGAGCCCCCGCCCGAGCGCACCCGACCCTCGGGGGGAGCCCCTTCCGGGGCGAGGTCCAGCACGGACGGCCCCCCTCAAGAGGGAGGAGGCCCGGCAAGGGCGCGCCTGACCGAGGAGCCAGCGGAAGGCTGGGAAGCGGCCCTAGGGGATGGCCGCCCAGGACGCCCCGCCCCCGCGCCCAAAGGCGGGAGCCCGAAGCCGAGGCCTCCGGAGAGACCCGTGCCCGCCCGGGAGGGGGAGAGCAGGAGGGGGCTGGGCCCAAGGGCCCGCCACATCGACCTGCTGCCAGGCGCGCGGGTGATCTACCACAGCTTGACCTACGACACCTACGTAAACGGGGTCGCGCGGGGAGCGCGGAACGACAACCCCGACTACTACGACCTGGGCGTCAAGCCCTACGCCCACATCGCGCGGATCTACCTCCCCGCGCCGCCGCCGCGCGAACAGGGACCCCGGGAGCGGATGCGCGCACGACGGTGCCAGGCTGCAGCGTGCGCTTCCTCCCCCACCATCCCAGGCCCCCGGCGGGGGAGGAAATGGGAAATGGGGAGGGAGGCCCGGCAACGGGTGCTCCGGGGAGAGGGGCGCCCAGCGGGCCCGGGGGCGTCCCCCCGCCGGCGGGACCCCCACCCCCGAAGGAGGGAGGTCACGGGGCGACAGCAGGGGGTGGCGCGTCAGCCCAGGGCGCGGGGGGCTCAGCTGTGCCACAGAAGGCCGCCCCGGCGTTCCCGGCGGCCGGGGCTCCCGCGCCGGGCAGTGGAGGGAGGAGCACGGCGCCCGCAGCGGGCGCCGGGCCCCATGGCGCCCCCCCGCCCCCGGCGGAGCCCCCTCCACTTCGGACCGCATGCGTGATCGCAACCATGCGGGGCCCACCTTCCTCGGTCTTGGCCCTAGTGGAACGCCGCTCGGATGGGTCCCACTCCCTGGTGCGCGGGATCGAGCGGTGCGGAGAGGCGTCGGCCGTGGTTACCGCTTGGAGGGCCCTGGACGAGCAGCTCGGGGTCGCCCTCTCTCCGTCCACGAACTGCGACACCGTCCCCCACGTCTGGGAATGCCCACAGCACCCTGCGGAAGAGACCCCTGGGGCTGCTCACCCCTACGCCCGGCGGCTCCACTCCACCCAGGACAGAGCCTACTACTACCACTACCATTCGGTACAAGGGAACCTGCGGCAGTGGAGGGACACGCCGGGCAGGGAGTACGTCCTGGTGTCGGTGGATGACCTCCGGAGGCTGCGCTTCCCCGCCGCCAGCGACCAGCGCATGATCTGGAGGGCCCTGGAGCAGGCGGAGGAAGTGGAGCGAGTCCGGGCGCGTGCCCCGCCGGAGCCCCCGCCGGAGGGGGCGGCGGGCGCCGCGCCCGCATCCGGGGCGGCGGGGGGAGCGGCAGGCGCCGACCCATTCGTCGCCCGGCCCAGCCTCTGGATCACGCTCCAGGGGATAGCGGGCCCCCAGCACGTCGAGGAGCGTCACCGTTTCCTCCGGGCGCGCCTCATCACCCTCTTGGGCGTCCTCGACACGCCCGGTGACCGGGAAGCCCGGGGCTGCGCGCACGAAGACCTCGTGGCCTCCTTGGAGGAGTCGTACTCCGAGGTTCACCTGGCGTTCTTCACGGCGTCGCGGCGCGCCCTCGCGTTCGCCTCCGGGGTCGGGCCCCCGGAGCTCACCCACAGGCCCGAGGCCGCGAAGAAGCTACTCGAGGAAGGAGATCATGAAGGGGCCCTCCGCGCGGCCCTGGGACCCGGGGTGGCCCCGGCGCAGCGACGGGCGGAGGGGGGCCCCGACCCCGCGCGGGAAGCGGAAGAGCCTCCCCCGGAGGAGCCACCCCCGGCACCCGCAGACCTCGGGAGCGCGCCGGTCGTCCCCGGCCCTGCCGGACCGGCGCAAGGAGAAGCCCAGGACGATTCGGGGGAGTCGGGCGGGAGCGCAAGAGGAGCGTATGAGGAGGACCCCGACGAGGACCCTTACGACTGGGTGGCCAGCTGGATCCCGGAAGGGATGGCGGCGGACTGGGTGCGCACCTCCATGCTGCCGACGGGCGGCTACACTATCAGGGCGCCCATCCCCACAAGCTGGGTGGAGCTGTGGAAGCCCGAGGTCCTGCAGGAGATAGGCCACTTTCCCCCGGAGCTGGCGGCATGGCTGGACTCCACCATTCGGGTCGGGGGGGGGGGATGAGTGGACCCAGTTTGATGGGTGCCCGCGGAGCCTGGGCACCCACCGCGCCCTCCCGCTCCGCTTGGAGGAGGGAGGCACGGAGACGGTCTACTACCACCCGAAGCACATGCTGCTGTTCTTCGTGGAGGCGCGGGAGGTCTACAGGCTGATGCTCCTGGTCCAGGGCCCAGTCCCCCAGCACCTCAGGGCGCACCGGGATGAGCAAAACCTCCGAACGGGACGCCTCCCCCCCCCGCCGCTTCGGAAGACCGCGGAGCCCGTCGCCGGCGGGGAGGCGGACGGGGCCGCAGGGGGGCACCCCGCTGACGCGGAGAGCGGGGGCGGGAGACCCCTCCCAGATCAGGGCGCGGAGCCGCCTCAGGACGCACCCGCTGAGGAGGGGCGGGGAGGCGGGGGCGCGGAGCCGGGAGGGGGAGCGGACCAGAAGGGCGAGGCCGACCTCGTCGGGGCCGCCAGCCCGGCTCAGGGCGCGGCGGAGGACGGGTCTAGGCTGGAGGGGCCGGCCGAGTCACCCGAGCCCCCGGAGGGCGCCCAGTCCAGGCACCCGCGCTTCCAGCTGCCGGAGGAAGGGCCCCCAGGACCCGAGCCGGCACCCCCGGCCGAGGGTCAGGGATCCCAGGAGGCGGAGCCGGCGGCGCCGGCCGAGGAGCAGGCCCCGCCGCAGGCTCCGGAGGAACCCGCCTCCGACGCGGTGGAACATCTCCAGCTCCAGATCGCCCTGGAGGCCTCTGAGAAGGAGAAGGCCACGAGGGAAGCGGAAGAGTCCCCCGACGGCCCGGCCGGTGACGCGGACGGGGAGCGCCTCGGGCGCAGCGTGCCGGGGGGAGGAAGCCCCGGGTGGAGGAAGGCGCTTCCAGCCGCGCCAGAGCCTTTGGTCGGAGAGGGGCCACGAGGAGGATGGCACCTTCGAGACCCGGGAGCTATTCTGGTCGGACGCGTGGCGACAAGCCCCGAGGGGTGGCGGCTTCCGCCACGTCCTGCAGGTCCTGGTGGAGATCCTCGTCGACGAGCAGAGGGCGGGGGCCTCCTCCTCCCCCGGTGGAGAGCGCCTGTTCCACCTGGAGGACTTCAGCCGCAGGGCCCAGACTGGGCCAGACCAACGGGCGGATCGCGGAGGAGTACCTGAAGGACGCGTTCGGGGAAGGCGTTCAGACCAATACCAACCCGTCCACCGGGAGGGAGTACAGGATCCCCGAGGTCATGGAAAAGTTGCAGGAGACGAGGGAGGCAGCCCTGCGGAGGAGCCTGGAAGTGACCCGGCCAGAGGCAGAAGCCCCGAGACCAGCCCGGGGCGGGCTGCCCCGTTCCCCCCGCGAGGCTGGGGAGACCGCCGCACGGGGCAAGGGGGGGGGCCCTACCAGCCGTGCACGGGAGGCGCCCCCGGAGCCCCCGGCGGGGGCGATACTGCAGTTGGAGGAGGCGGACTGAGCCGGGCCCGGCCTTGCGCGGACGTCCGGGAGGCGGGTGGCCCTCTCCATTAATTCATCACGGACCCTCCTCCCTCTGGAGGGGTGGCCCCGAGTTTTTGGCCCTCCCTGCGCGCGCGCCGGCCGCCGAGTCATGAACGTGTTAAGCGGCTGCACAGGATGCGTGCAGGGCGACCCCCGCGTGGCCCCGGTCACTCTCCCCTCCCCGCCCAACGCGGCGCACTGCGCGGACATGCCCCGGTGCGCCTGGAGCGGGGCTCCCCCTAGGCGGGGCTCAGTGGTGGAGCTGGCCCGCGGCCCCCTTTTTAATCATCTCGTGGGGCCCCGCCCCCTGCCTGCGAGCAGTTTGCCCACGGGAGGTCGGCGGTGGCTTGGACTTTTACCGGAGGGTGGGGCCCGGGACGGGCGCGGGCGGAATGCCTGCGGCTGTGCTCGCGGTCGTCGCCAAAACAGGGCCCCCTCCTCTCTTGACAGTTAACGGAGTTTGGGGGGAATATGGTCTCGTTTGGCTATGCCTAAACGGTTTTATTCCCCCCTAGGCCGCAGTGCTCTGGCTCCCTCCCCTTTTTCCCTTTCCCCTCTTCCGCAGCCGTCTGTGCTTCGAGCTGTGCTTTTCCACTTCCCACCCCGCAACTTTTTTCAAGGAGCTGTTCCCTGGAGTCCTCTTCGTCAGTCGGAGAGCTCCAGGGCGGAATGCCTGCGGCTGTGCTCGCGGTCGTCGCCAAAACAGGGCCCCCTCCTCTCTTGACAGTTAACGGAGTTTGGGGGGAATAATATAGGAGTTCATATCGATTTGTATATCCACCCTACATCTTGCATGCGCGTTCTCTTGCCGTATGGTTTCACGCCCTCCGCCCCCAGTGGCGGAGCGAGCGGCCTCCAGGCCCCTCGACCAGACATGACTTTGACTTTGGGGGGGAGACGAATCCAGAAGGTATGAGAAACTATGTGGAATGCTTGGGGTTGTGCGTGTATTTCTTTGTGTGTTCCTGGCCCCCCCCCCACAGACGGGGAGGAAAAGAGGAGAGACTTCGAGGTTTCGAACGTCGAGCTGCGCCCGAATGTTCCCCCAGGAGATGCCTGGGGGTCGGTTGGTGGTCGTGCCATGATTCACTGTCTTGCCTAGCGGCGCGGGCCCTCGCATCCCATCCTCCTCCCCTGTGGAGTCATCCTGGCTGTTTCTCCGGCGCCTGTCTCAAGCATGTGGCGTCGCCCCCGCAGGACGCACTGTTGCAAACAGTCGCATGCAGCAGAGGTCCGGAGCCAGGCCGCCCCCCCCCCCTTCTGCCCAATTTCGA